CACACACACACACACACACACACACACACACACTCTTAGTCATTTATCTGCTCAATCACTCACTCCTTGCACACTCGCTCATTCACTCCCTCACTTTCTTACTCATGCACTTGCTCATCCTAACTTGCTTGCACCCTTAGTAGCCTGCTTGCTGCCTTGCTCCCTTGCTCCCTTGCTCCCTTGCTCCCTTGGTCCCTTGCTCCCTCACTCCCTCTCCCTCTCTCCCTCTCTCCCTCTCTCCCTCCCTTCCTCCTACACTCCCTCACTTCATCCCTCCTCACTCACCACGAGCCTACCCACCACCCATGTGCCAACTAAGATGGCGGCATGATGATGCCAACTAGAAGGTCCAGGAAAGTGCATTTGCCATTGTTCATGAGGTTGTGGTGACATTGGGCTAACGTGTGATGGGTTAGCGTAATCATCATCTGCAGCATATAACAACACTTTTCGTCTCATCTAGTAATTTCAGCTGAGTGGATGGAGACAATGTGCTCAATTGTGTGCGAAAGCCAAAACAGAATGCTCATGACGGTTAACCATGTTGATGCTCAGGCAGTCATGAGCATGTAGCTGGTAGAGAACGGTTCCCTTCACACGAGTTAGCATGGAATGGCAGCAGTTGGGACAGACCCAAGGCAACTTTGGGTTGGTCCCTCTTCACACGCACCTCTAGTCCCACACTTGGGAGAATCACCACCATCGGAACTCCCAGAGACCCCAGCTCGGCTGTGTTCGTTCCCATCTGTTCAAACCCAGAATACATGCACAGAGTGGCAGTAGTGAGAATACACATCCATAGATTGACCCAACCATGTTTTTTTTTGTTTTGTTTTTGTTTTTGGGGTGAGAAAATTGAAGAAACAAGTCTTTCGCAAATGCCGATATCCGAAACTCGTAAGACCATAGTTATTAACTTTACTACTTATTAGGTAGCCTGAAGAGCCTAGATAGCCTGGTTGGGGGTGTTAATGGTAATGCCAGCCTGTGTAACCGATGCCAATACACAGCATGTATGGCCCCAAGGCTTAGGAGAGATTTCAGGGTAGGAAAATAGATGGAAACCTGGCAAATGCCAGGAATACACAGTATACATACTACATAGATACTACAGATGAGGACAGGATCAACTTACTTGCTTTGGAAAACCTGATGGTGGGAAGGATGATGGAATGACAAGGAGAGGTTGGTACTCTAGGTCTAGGTAGGTTGAACCGTTGAACAAGTGATATGCGGCCTGGGGGACTGCCAGGGAATACCCCTGCCTCCTCCTGCCGGGGATTACCCTGCAGCGTGCCGGGGTGCTTCCAGTAAGCTTCCCCCCTGGCAGGTTAAACCCTGAGGAAGGGTTGGAGGTTGGGAGTGGGTTGAGCCGAACCAGCCCCGCGTGGCTTAGGCGGCTCGAGCCACAAGGGCGGGCCGACGCTTTTCTCTCTGTCTATATCCCCCGCTGCTCTTTCAAAAACATTCACTTGGCGGTGATAAGCAGCTGGACTGATGCCCCCCAGAATAGAAGGGGCTGTGCTGTTGTTGGGGGGGGCGAGGGGGGAGGGAAAGTGAAAAAAAACTTTTAAAAAGTTGTAAGACGCCATCATCCACGTTGCTGTCAGAACATGTCTGCAATCCATGGGATTGCAACCAGCCCATTTCTGAAAACCCAGGTGCATGGAATGTAGGCGGATAGCAGGCTAGATTCGGACCCTGCAGAAGGCTACAGACTGCAATAATGTTCCTGCCCAGACGGGGTTGGGAACCGGTAGGCCTAGTGTATTGGTAAAAGGCTGAAATACCCGGCGAGTACCCGGCTAGAAGGGACTAGAGGCTGGGGAGACGAGGGTCTATCATTCGGTGCAATGAGTAGCCTGGACATTCACCCTGCAGTCATGCTGCATCGCTGCCTACCGTCTTCACCCGAATAAACATCCGGTCATTATGGCTGCATCTGGTCTGGAAGTTGCCCCAAATACAGATATAATGACCGGGCGTTCTATTCGGTTGAAGACGGTAGATAGAGAAGAGAGGCTGAGCTCTGTGGTTGAGAGGAAGACGAGGGTAGGCAAAGAAGAAGACCTCAATGGTATAGAGCGAGAAGGATTCCATAGGGGGGGGGGTTGCCTAGTCATGGAGGGATAAGGGATATGTAATAGTAGGGAAGGTGGAGGAATGAGGTGGGACACGACAAGGAGACTTACCTCTAGCTATGGCGGGCCTTCTTCTTCATGCTCCTGGTTGGCACTACATCAACAAGGCCCCTGTTGGGTGTACCAGTTGTACATGGACTCTATCCGAAATGAGGCTACGGCAATAGAAAATAGGAGAGGCACAGTGGCAATTGTGTTGTCCTTTGAACATCAGTGCTAGACATGGATGATGAATCACCATAGCTCGTTGCTTTACCCATGCAGTACGAAATCAGCTTAAGAAAACATGCAGAAGATTGGACAACACGGTGGGCATGGTCAAAAAGAGAAGGGATGTTGAGTAGGCATGTGCTATCAGAAAAAAAGCCCCTTTTTCCCCACTCCTCCTTTTTCTTTCCCCTTGCTTTCTTCTCTTTCTTTTCTTCTTTGTCTTAAGAAATGGTGATGGCCTTAATGTACCATCATCCAACTAGATGGCACCAGGCTTTTTTTTTTTTTTTTAACACACCCCCGCCAGTGTTAGTGGTGCTGGTAAGAGCAGACACCACTAGCACCTGGGGAGAAGCTCCAGTCTATTGGTGGGGATATCTGGTGCCGGTTGCAGGGTGAAGAGGTTCCTCCCTCCTTCCAGTATCTTGTTCAGTCAATCCCCTGATTCCCAGGGTAATCAATGCTGGCAAGACCTTTTGAATACGGTTTCTGACGTATTTCAATTCCAAATGTATAAGGGACGCTGGACCCGTTTTCCAGCAGGTGATGTACCATCATCCAACTAGATGGCACCAGGCTGTTTATAACTTTATAGTTATTTCTTGCATCTGGTTCCTTCAGGATTTGAATTCACGTTTGTTTATCAGCAGTTACATGGGTGTACCGGTCAGCCATATGGAGTGGGTACTGAAATAGCCCCTGCATTCTCTTTTGAAAGGGTGAAGTTCGCTTGGAAGAATGCACCTGAGCCTGTTCACATCCAGGTGCAGATTATGCACTTGGTCACCTGCACAACCTGGTGCATTCCCACCAGGCTAGTTATTGCATTTCCAACCTTCAGCAGATCATTCCTGCAATTCTCCAAAAAATATAACAACAAAGGAAAAGCACTTATACTCCCCAAAATGGACATGGAGCCAGGACCATGACCTGTCTGTTTCTTTAGGAAAAAAGAAAAGGAAGGAAGGAAGGAAGGAAGGAAGGCAGTGTGGAAGCACTTTGCATCAGCTTATCCTTGAAAAGGCGGCTTGTGCCACAAGGGTAAGGTTGTCCCTTCTCTTTTCTTGCCTTTTCTCCCTCATTACTTCTAAACATGCTTGCCGGTGATAAGCAACCGGACTGATGCCCCCCACAATAGAAGGGGTTGTGTGTTGTTTGAAAAAAAAAAAAAAAAAGAAAAAAAAAAAAAAGAAAAAAAAAAAAGGGGCAGTGAATCGACGTCGGCTCTCACCGTTGTCAGACATAGCGTGCATTTCGCATACAACTCGTACGGAGGGAACTGCTCACAGACCAGTATGGACGTTCCCTTTGCAGTCTCCATGACAGCAACAGTCCCTGGCCAGACACTAGCCGGCGACAGTCCACTCTGCCAGCTACCCTCTTCTCCTGATGTCAATTCATGTGGCCTTGAAAAACTTGTCGACGAAAACAAATCCAACCTGCCTGCCCGTTCGGCATTGCAACTGCTTAGCTGCTCTTCAGCATGTGACGGGCTTCGCGTTGGCGCATCTCTCTCATGGTGGCCGCCGCTGCCTCTACCTGTTTCAAAAACACCTGCGACACTGCCCACTGCCAATGTGCTGCCTTTGGCCGCTGATCGATGAGAATCCAACGGCTCAGAAGCAGCACCCTCAACAGGATCAGAATCACCTGCGCTCAGACGCCCCTCCTCATTTCCAGGTTTCCTGGCCAGTGCTTGACGATGTACGCCAGCGCTCAGCTCACTACCGCTATCGGAAAGGTACTGCACGTGATTGATGTCCTCGAAGACGTCCTCTGTCACCCCATTTTGAAAAACATTCGTTCCGTCTGGTTTGCGGTTACTTCCCGTGCACTTCGGATATAAACGCGACTGGAACATCCCATCCGGCCTTGTTTCCTCTGCAAGTGATACTGTGGACAATGCAGCTGAAGATTGGTTTGAGATACCCAAGTCTTGCAGGGGAATAACTGTGCCAGAAGCCCATCCTGACTTTTCGATGACTGGATTTGTGGATGAGTCCGCATGCTCTGCAATCATGCCGAGATCCACTGTTGGAGCCAATGGGATAACAAAGCGAGCACCTGGAAATCTGCTCAGCCAGACAATTTCAAAACATCATCATCATCATCATCATCATCATCATCATCATCACTACCACTACCACTACCACAACCATCATCATCATCATCATCATCATCATCATGACCATTATCATAATCACGGAAAGCAAAACTGCACCAAGAAGAGGAGGAGGTGAGGAGATAGCAGCGCGGCGGCAGATTAGTATGCTGATTTGATTTGTCGTCATCTGATAACTCACCATAACCGGATGGTAGTACAGTAAGGTACACAGGTTCAAGTGTGAACCACCAGGGCTTGAATTAACATACTTCACACAAAACATTTGCAATCCTCTCTCTCTCTCTCTCTCTCTCTCTCTCTCTCTCTCTCTCTCCCCTCTATATATATTTGACGATATATATATATATATATCGTCAAATAGAACTGCCCGGTAAACCGTAGGCAGATAGGGAGAAGAGGACAACAAACGAGGGGCTGTGACAAACTGTTTCGTCGGAGTTTCACCGACTCATCAGGAGGCTGAATAATATATATATATATATTGTCACAGAACTATTGACTAAGAGCATGATATATATATATATATATCGTCACAAACAGAACTGCCCGGTAAACCGTAGGCAGAGAGAGAGAAGAGGGCAACAAACGAGGGGCTGTGACAAACTGTTTCGTCGGAGTTTCACCGACTCATCAGGAGGCTGAATATATGGGAGTATGAAGAGCCACCTAAAAGTAACATTCCTGGGTCCCTAGAGAGAACTACAGAGGCAAAAGATTCTCTGAACACAAGGAAGACGAAGGGTGAAAGTGGGGGGAAACAACAAGGAAAAAGCAAAAAGGAAAAACTGTACCGTTTGGAGATGTTGTCCGCCACTGACATCATGAAAGGGATTCCAAGCATCAGCTTCACTTTCTGCCAACAAACAATGTACGAAAGTCCAGTTATCAACTGGATTCATCTCATTTGGGTAAATCGGATGGGTGCATCGTACGCATTGCACAGGTATGTACCGCAACACTGAGAGATATCACATTCACAACTCGATGCCCTTTAGGGGGGAAAAAGAAAACTTCAGAAAAGAAAGGAGTAGGGGGGAAAAAAAGAAAAAGAAAAAAAAGAGCACGGGGGGACATCCCTCTTTGGACCATCTGGAAACGAAGGTGTTCTCTAATAATCGATGGGGAGGTAACAGACAAGGAGCAGGCCTGGGCATCTCTCATTCAGCTGATGGAGCCGGAGAGATCAGACAGCAGTGGCAGATGACCAAGGCCCCAGGACAACGCGGGCTTAAGCCACCAGTACCTCCAACCCTCTTTTCGCCGTCGTGAATTGGAACTGCACGCCCAGCTTTGTCAAACTGCCAGTGGCGCATATTTTTCATTTTCTGGCTGGCGCCGCCAGCCATTTTAGTCCGGTAGTACAGTTCACCCAAAATCTGCGGATTGGCTCAATTTCGATTCTCAAGTTTGCCTGGGGCAAAATGTACTGGCGGCTTAAAGCACCAGTACACCATACATAGGCCAGCGGGTGTCAGCATGGAACCCGCAACACTTTGGAGGCCGCCGATTTTTGTTCCCAACGGCGCCCCGCGCGGCGCGACCCCTCCGAGTTTTGCTTGTGGCGACAAAAACTTTCTGCAAGGCTGGGGCCGTGTACTTACCCACAGACTGACTGACTGACTGACTGACCCTCTAAGGACTACAAAGCCTTCTCCTTTGATCCAGCAAGGTTACCACAGCCGACGGAAGCTTTCACCACCACTTTAATGGACAAGGAGCCGGCTTGGGCATCCCTCCCCTCATTCAGCTGCTGGAGATGGAGATCACTAACAGCTAGCAGATGACCAAGCCCACAGGGCAACCCAGGACGATTAAAGCAGGCTTCAAGAAAAAACACTTCATCAAAGAATGGCTATTGAATGGGACGCTGGCAAAAGTGGACGCCAACAGGGTGTGCTGGACAAAATCCAGGGTGTTTTTTTTTTTTTTTTTTTTTTTGCAGTCCCCACCTGAAGCTAGTGAAGAAGACAATACCTGACAGCCTTGATCACAGTCAAGCCTGAGACGTTCCGCGGGTGATGGCAAGCTGATAGTCAATCCTTTGTACGGAGGAGCAATCAATGCTGTTTAGGGGTGCTTCGGCGAAAGGGAAGGAAGCATTGGGTGCGTGTATCTTGATTGTATTATTTTCAAGACTGGCCAGGGGCATAGGAACCGGGCTGCCGCGCCCCAGAACGGACAGGAGGCAGGAGCATCAGGACCTTTTCTTAAAAAAAAAAAAAAAAAAAGGGGCTGCCGCGCCCCAGAATGGACAGGAGGCAGGAGCATCAGGACCTTTTCTTAAAAAAAAAATAAAAAAAAAGGAGCATGGTGGGGCGGGGGAGCGGGGAGTAAGGAAATAACTGGATGTTCATCCATCTTTTTGCGAGGATTTGAGACCCTCGGCAGTGTTGGAAAGAGGCCTTGCCTGGCCTAATGTGACCGCAGAAAGGGGCAATAACTGGATGTTCATACATTCTTTTGCGGGCCTGCAAATATACGCCTAGATTGGAGTACAGGCCAATGTGACCGCAGAAAGGGGCTTTGCAGAAGGCCCCAAGAGGTTGTTGAAGGGCTTGCGCCTGTTGGAAATCATTTGCGGGCTTGCAATCCCGCCGGGTCCTAAACAGGGGCTCGCTGAGTCCATGCCTCACGCCAGACAGTTACAGCACGTTGATGCTGTGTGACCATGACCTACTCGCCAGACCTGAGCCCTCCAACCAAACGGGGCGCTGGGCACATCTGGTAAAGGCCATGGGCGGGTACACTTGAGCCTGGCCTGCTCACTCGGGCCCTGGAGGCAGGCCGTGCCTGTGTGACTGGGCCCTGCATATTTCCAGCGAGAGCCTGGAGGCCGACATGTCGCACAATGCCCGTGGACCACTGAAAAAGCAGCTTCGGTGTCACACACTGGCCACGAGCCAATCAGGATGCAGCGAACACTTGGAGCCGCGTCACACACTTGCGCGTGCCTAACTGCATTGGGCCCAGGCCAGTATCTGAACTGGTCCCGGGCCCAGACACTTTGGCCCGACAGGAAGCTACTGGGCCCCACGGCCAGCCAGCAGTTTCCATAAAGGAAAGTGCCTATCGCCCAGCCAGGCATTCTGGCCTGCGGCAACCTGGCTGCCGCGCTGCTGGTTTGGGGGCTGGCAGGCTGCTGAGGCGCTGGCTGGAGAGCGCACACGGCCGCTAGTCGTGGAAGTGGGGGCGCTGCAAGCAGCAGCGGGCGCAAGCGGCCATAGCCTGGCTGGTGATGACGATGGTGGTCTTCGGGTGTAAGGGAGATGCACGCTGTGGGGGACAAGGGGTGAGGGGAAAGAGAAAAGACACGTACCTGACTTGTTTGCGGCAGTCTGCACGGGCGACTTCTTCATGTACATTGGCCTTCAGCTGGAAGTGATTCCCGGTCGCATTGTCATAGACAGATGGTCGCTAGTATAGGTTCTGGAAGGCCGTAGGATGGGAGCTGGGCGCCATACAAGAAGGGGGTGACATTGGATGCATTGTTGATGGTGGCGAGAGAGGGCTGACATTAACATTTTGAGTTCATTTTATTGCTCTCATTTGGCATGTAACTCAGTGAATTCTACTTTCTGCTCGGCCAATGACTATTTGGTCTTCAATGTGCTGTTGCAATTTGGTTTTCTGTCTCTTGCTCTCGCTCACTTTCCTTGCATTTTGTTCTCTCTCTTTTATATCCATTTTAACAAGGATCCCCTTAAACCACCACCACTACCTTTCAGAGGCGAAGGCTAATCTGTGAATATAACCATAGTCGATGGATGTACTATTCAGGAAAAGACTACCTAAAGTCTTTTTCCACATCGGCTGCATCGAAGGTTCAAATCTTGAATATTGTTGTCGCTGTGGAAAAAAGACTTCAGGCCAACCCACTTTTTTTCAAGAAAAGAGAGGAGGGGAGGAACGTGAGCAAAGACGGTCGGCACAACAGCAATGTTCACAGGTTACAGAGAGTCCAAACCAGTTCACTTTCTTTTTTTTTATGTCACATTTCTGAAACCACCAAATGGCACTAATCTCATTTTTTCATAGTCCCTTTCCTTTTTCATTTTTTCTTCCCTAGCTTCAGCAGAACCAACCTTTGATCCAGGAAGAAGCCCAATAACTGGCCCAGTTGGATTTGCATTATCAATTCCATGTCTGCGAACTCTTCCTTCCAAGCGCCTTTCAGACAAAGGTTTTTCAGTCCAGGGCTGCTCTGATCCACAGCACAGATTGTCATGCTCTTTCTCCCACGCAGAAGCTTTCTCGTACTCCGGCGCTGTTTCCAGGAAATTCGCAGCTTCGCCAAGAGAGTCTGTGAGCTCACCATCAGCAACAGCATCTGCAAATAAATCACCGATGACCCGGCAACGCCTTCGCAGTGGTGGAAACACCCCTCTCAGCAGAGAAGGACTCCGTAGAACATACACGTCTGCGAGGCTGCCTTAACTTGTCAGCTCTCTCTCTCTCTCTCTCTCTCTCTCTCTCTCTCTCTCTCTCTCTCTCTCCCCCCCCTCCCCCCTTGCGTGTGTGTATACATAACCTCCTCTCTTCCCTCACACGCACATGCATCTCATCATCAGTGCACTATCAGAGTGGTTTAGGTAAGGTTGCAACGATGGACCAGAAAGCCTCTCCCCTGGAGCTGATGGGCAAGTTATGGAGAACAGTGAAAGGGGGGGAAGGGAAGAGGGGGGGCGAAGGGAGGGGAAGGGCGAAAAAAAAAACGTTAAGAACTTAATAAGAAGCTTAAAAACTACGAAAAAGTGAAAAACGCTCGACTTCCACATTTTGCAACTTCTGTTAGAATTTTGTACGGCTCTTTCCCTTGTTCAATCCTGGCATCCGAGATGAAGTTTCAGAGGGCAGCAAATTCCACTTTATGCCTTCAGTCAGCGCCGGCCCTACCGAGCAATGTTTGCATTCAGGTTTTGGATCTGGCATCTGATAAGGGGAGTGGATTTTTTTACAATCCAATCACGACAGTCAGATTTCCCTGCAAAGACCCAGACACAATCCAGTGTGTCGTGCCTGTTACTCTTTGACTGATGATGGGTGAGGATCTCATCCACAGAGAACATCAGTGACGTCACAGAGAGAGCAAAACACCAGAGGTGCAGCTCACCCGCACTCCAGGAGGGCACAAACCACCAACAGAGAAACAAGAATCACAACCACAACCCACACATCCATAATCCTTTTTCTTTTCTCTTTTGCTTTCTTTTATCTTCAATTGAATCCCAATCCTGTTGGTACGCCGCGAGAGGCGGGTCTCCAAGCACTCAGCGAGTGTGTCGCCGCTACCTCCTCGTATCCCAGCACTATGGCTGAGAGGTGCACTGCACAACATATGCCTGTTGAAGGGCAATACATGTGAGCTCTGGATTTGTTTATCAACAGTTAAACATCCGTACCGTTCACTAATCAGTCGCCAATCACTGGAATTCCGAGCATTCACCAATTATTACTTAAAAATTAAAATTAGATCGGTCACAAGTGGGCTAGCTCAGTTGGTTGAGCACGTAAGTGGCACTCAGGAGGTCGTGGGTTCGAATCCCGAAGTCATCCTTTCAATTCCCACGGCCTCCTGGGGGTATACTTCTGGTTTTCAGCAGCGGAGATTTTGCCGGCTTTGGGCCTCCTGGCTGATTAGGGAACGTTGTTCCGGCCTACGCCAGTTGTTAGCAGCCTGGGTACTGCTCCCCGCACTGAGCAGAGGGTGGTAGACATAGACCCATAACCGTAGGATAGCTTATAGCTTAGATGAGGGTATTTAAAAAAAGCGGTTCTTATCTCCAATCATTAGGCATAGAGTAGGTTGTTGGCTACTTTCCCAGGTCCATAGTCTCTTGGCCTGCTATCTGCGCTTGGGGTGTCTGGTGCCTGGTGGTCTCGGGTTGCGGTGCTGGGTTGCCTTGGGCGGATAGGTCGCATGCTGAGATGAGCAGGTAGGCAAAAAGTAGGTAAGAGTAAGGAATGCAAGACATTGAGAAAAGGACATAGGGTAGCTAAATACAGCTGTCCCCCATATGAGGAGAAGACAGACTGTACTTTTTATTTAAAAAGAAAAAGAAAAAAAAGATCAGTCACTATCTCAGTATATCGAGCAAGCATCCATGCTCCAGCCATCACATCTTGTTGATGCCTAGCCAGAAGCGGGTCTCTGAATGCTCACAAAGTGTGGCGCTGCTAAGTCTCCTCCCATCTACCTCTTCTTCCTTGCTGCCTTCATTCTATCTCATCTCTGCAAAGGCCTTCTCCCCGGAGCGCATTCCGTCAACTCGTCAGTACTCTGTCTCAGCAACTACATGCCCCTTCGCGAGCCCTCGCCCGTGCTGGTTCTCCCATCCCCCGGTGAAAGACCACACATCCGAGAGTTAACAGCAGCCAATGGCAGACTGAGTCTCATCCTCTCCTCAGAGTGCATTTCGATTGACTCATCAGTACTCTGTCTCAGCGACTACTCGCCCCTTCACGAAACCTCACCCTTGTCGAAGTTGTCAGTTCTGCCATCCCCAGGGGAAAGACCACACGTCCGAGAGTTTGCAGTAGCTAATCAGGCAATACTGCTCTAAGACTAGCAGCAGCCAATGTCAGACTGAGCCTTGTACTCTTTCTTTTTTTTTTTTTCAATACTTGCGCAGGGGCCATGCTAATCTTCTCTGTATCGTTCCAATTTTAACGGATGTCCCAAAGGACGTCTTTTTCCTTTTCTTTTACCTTCCTTTTATTTAAAAACTATGCTATGTTCTTCTGTCATTTTTTCCGCACACTAGCTACATGTCTAAGGCCAGATATCCAAGGGCCTCTATGGGTCTTAAAGCACCAGTACATGCCAGCTATCGACCGCGGGCCCCTTTCGGTGGCCGCCCACTGCAGATTCATTCTATCTACAGAGCTTGGTCTCCTAAATTTTAGGAGAGGCTCAAAACAGGTTCTCCAGTTGCCTGGGGCCATGTACTGGTTGTTTAACACCACCCTCCACCCGTGCCTAAGTGCCGCCGGAACACCCCTGGCAAGGGATGGAAGGGGCGAGGGAATACCCCCTACCAAGACCAACCAAGGGGAGCAAGCCGACGATCTCAGCTGGTGAACCGTCAGCACGTGGCAAGAGGCCGTGGGGATTCATATGGAAGACATGGGGAATCGAACCCACGACCTCCTGAATGCCACATTTGTGCTCTACCAACTGAGCTAGGCTGACTGGCCCAGCCTCGTCCTCCTTCACATAAGTACAAGGGCGAATTTTAGATATCCTAAAATTTTCCGGATATAGCCCACTGACATCTCCCAGAATAGGGAAAGAAAAACGGGGAGGAGTTCAGTCCTTCGATCGGGTCTAGTGCAAGTCACACCCTTGTGTCGCACTGGTCATTTTCAAAGCAATGATCTGACCGGACTCCGCCGGTTCAACTTGCTCTCAGCCCCTCGTTGCTCGGCCATTGCCAATTCTTTCTTTAATCTTTAAGGGCCGTGTGACATTTCACCAATACAAAACAATTTCCAGAGCCCCCCAAGCGTCACGAGGGTAAAGATTGGGCCCCAATGCCCAACACCTGCACAAGATACGAGTAATGTAAAGAAGAGGCCAAGGGTCACGAAAAGACCCGAGAGGCTGAAACTACAACAGAGGGGTGCCCGGCATCGGCTTGACAGCCCTCCGACAACGGGGTCTACCCATGAACCTGAATGGCGCAAAAAGCTGGGTTCTGTTCATTTCCCTTGTGTGAAACGAAAAGGAAGAGTTTCGACACTTTCATTGAGTTTTCTCATTTATTAGAACCAGTGACCCGCCGCAGCTACGCAGCGGCAGAGGAGAGGGACGAAGAGGGAGGCAGGGCCGCTGTTGTTACACTGCCGTTTTTTTTTGTTTTTTGTTTTCCATCGTCATATTCACTCTCTCTCTCTCTCTCTCTCTCTCTCTCTCTCTCTCTCTCTCTCTCTCTCTT